GACGGATGATGGATGTTGGATGGATGATGGATGGATGATGGATGGATGATGGATGGATAAATGGATGGATGTCTTTAAATCTTTATCATCATATAACTCCTTTCATGTATCGTGTTCTGATCCGGTGTTTGTGGCAAGCGGCTGGTGGATGGATGATGCCTGATGGTTAGATGATGGTTGGATGAATGGACGTCTTTAAATCTTTATTATCATATAATGTGTAATTCTTCTCATGTATCATGTTCTGATTCGGTGTTTATGGTGAGCAGCTGGTGACGGACAGCGGAGCTCTCTGCAGCATCATCTCTCTCATCAGCAGCTCTTCATCGTTCAGTCTTCATCATCTTTGGCTGCAGCCTGACTCGTTCTCCTCTCTGTAAAACGCTCAAATTAAACATTTGAACGTACGCACCGAAGCAACCGGTCATTTACCCACAATGCTCTGCAGCGTAAACAACTTGGCAACATCTGTGTGACATTATTATTTAAAAACTTTTTTACGGTCCTGTTTTTATAGTCAGAGTTGTGTGCGTGTTTTGTTCTGCCGGCGCCACTTTGATCCAGTATGACATCATCACAACTTCAGGCTCGGTGATTGTCTGCTCTGTTCTTGTTTCTCTTTCTTTTACAAGTTTGTTAACTTTGGACATGAGCGTTCTGAGAGCTGCCACACAATTCAAGAGCCAAACTACGTTACGATCATTAAAGTTGTTCCTTCAAATAAACCATCTCTGGTGTTTACGGCTGACTCAGTCCTGATCGTGACTCTGGAGCTGGTTAGAAACAAGCAGTGATAACAGGAAGTGAACTGAAACCGTTTATTTATGTTTGTAACGTGAAGGAGGCAGCGCAGGGAGACGGTGGAGCTGCTGTCAGTCAGGGGAGGCTGAACTGATAAAGAAAGGTTACATAAACATCCTCTTTTCTTCCTGGTCCTCTAACAACAAACCAGACTCCAGAGAAGAAAACTTCCAACTGTGCTTGGAGAGCAGAACAACCTCCAGGCTTTTATTTTGAAACTAATAGTAATGGGGGTTCTTAGCTTTAGAATAAATATGTTTTTCTTCTCTTCAGTTTTTATCGTTGTTGCAGCATTTTGGGAGAACTTCCAGGCGCATGATATTTTGAGGATTATAAAAAGGATCCAGGTTCTATAGAAGAATGGAGGACCAGTTCTGCAGACTGTCAGGTCCAGTTGAATCCAAACCAAGAGCTGTGTCTTCATCCCAGGTATGAAGTCAAGCTTGACCCCCGGTGCAGGCTGGTCCAGGTCATGGACAGGTTCTAAAGGTCCAGTTGTGCTTTGTCAGTCGTTGTCTGGAGCAGGAAATGGACCGGCGCATTGAGACCTCATCTGCAGTAATGAGGCCTCATCTGCAGTAATGAGGGCGTTGCTCCGAACTGTAGTGGTGAAGAAGAAGCTGAGCTCTGGATTTACTGGTCTGTCTATGTTCCAACCCTCACAAGGTCATAAAGTTTAGATCAGGACCAAACAAACCAGATCCTAGATCCAAATGAGCTTCCTTCGTAGGGTGGGTGGTGGGGCTCCGTCATCCGGGGGGAGCTTGGAGTAGAGCTGATGCTCCTCTGCAACAGAAGGAGTCAGCGGAGGAGGTTCGTCTGATCAGGAGGCCTCCTGGAAGATTTCCAGGCTTGTTCCACCAGGAGGTGGCCCCGGGTCAGACTCAGAACTCTTTGGAGGTTCTCCAAGAAGGAACTGGAGTGTCATTGAGGGGTGGGAGGTCCAGGAGGGAACCATTAAGAGCAACAGACAGAATAGATGGGCAGGTAGAAATACCAGTCTGAGAAGCAAAACGACTGGAACGAAGTCAGAGCGTGTTCTCATGTTCTGGTGAACTGGGTTTGACAGACAAACATGATTACTTTCAGAAAATGTTTTGACAATCAAAATATAAAAAAATAAAACCCAATTAGTTTTAAGAAATCAACTAAAACCATTAGAGTCCAAATGGTTTCTGATGGTGTCACTTGTTTTGTTGGTTCTCAGATCGTAACGAGTGCATGGAGAACCCCGGGATCTGTAACCCGGGTCAGTGCATCGACACGGTGGGAAGTTACCGCTGCCTCTGTTCCAACGGGTACAAAACCACCCGGGACCAGTCCATGTGTGTGGGTGAGTTCCCGACAGTTTCAGTTCCGTAGGGGAAGGCGGGTCCGGTCCGAGCTGAACCCGATCGCTGCTCTCTGGTTTCAGACGTGGACGAGTGCGACAGGCAGCCCTGTGGGAACGGCACCTGTAAGAACACAGTGGGCTCCTACAACTGTCTGTGTTACCCCGGCTTCCAGAACTCCCACAACGGGGACTGCATAGGTTCGAGCGCCTGTTTGTACATGCTGATCAAAGGTCAAAGGTCAAAGAGAGGCTGCATCCATTGATGCTTGTGGTGTTTTCATCAGATGTGGACGAGTGTGCAACGCAGAGGGGCTTGTGTCGGTACGGGAAGTGTGTGAACTCACTGGGCAGCTTCTGGTGCGTGTGCAACGATGGCTACGAGCTGGCCTTAGACGGTCGAGTGTGTACAGGTGAGCGTTTACCTTCACTGCACCTGTGGAAATATAAACCTTACTGCTTCATACTTTTCTGCTCCTCTTCCCTCAGATATAAACGAATGTGCAGTGAATCCAGGCACCTGTGGAGCAGGAACCTGTCTGAACATGGACGGTACCTACAGGTGTATCTGCCCACCTGGCTACTACCTCCACGAGGAAACCTGTGAAGGTACAGCAGCTTTGGGCTGTTTTAGCTGCATCACAGTCAATAAACATCACCGTGTTTGAACAAACAAGAACAGGAGTTTAGAACAGACCTAAAGAAATGATATTTTCTGTCAAATGGCAGTGAGGAAGCTGAATTACAGCTGAATCTGCTGAAGAAGCTGAACATGAGCTGCTAACGCTAACAGAAGAACACCAGGTAAAAGGAGCAAAATGTGAGCTCAAAGTTTAAAGTAGCAAAATGCAAGGTAAAAGTAGCAGGAGACTATCTAAAAGCAGTGAAAAGTTTGTTATACCTAAGCTAAAAGTAGCAAAAGGCTAGGTAAAAGCTACTAGTAACAAAAGACTAGCAAAAACTAAAAGTATCAAAAATGTAACTTAACACAGTAAATGGGTTGCTATAAGCTAAATGTAGCAAAAGGCTAGAAAATAGTTAACAGTAACTAAAGAGTAGATGAAAGCTAAAAGTCGCAAAAGGCTAGCTACAAGCAGCCAAAGGCTCCAGAGCGTTTGTGACTCCAGGTTCTGTAGAATGACGGGTTTGCAGGCTGAGGTGAGTCTGAGTGCAGAGAGCAGGTTGTGGAGTCCAACTCGCTCACGGTCTCACACAATCCCAGCTCAGACTAACGATGCTCGTAGTGGAAACTGGGCCGTTAAGCAGTCCCGAGCCAGAACTCCTGGCGTGTTTATCCAGTTGGGTCTGATGAAGAGATGTTCGTCAGACATTCCTGCTCGGTTCCTGGAAGCCGGGAGGAGCAGCAGCTGCTCGATTCCACTTTAAGGCTTTTCCAGATAAAAGCCCTTTAATCCGCTGAAGGAATTCCAGCCTGTTTTATCACGGTGGGATAAAGTGGTCACACATCATTCCTGCAGTTCTGATCCGACTCCAGCGTGCCTTCGTGGTTCTGATGAGTGACGTTCTGTCTGGTTCTGTGTCAGATATCGACGAGTGCTCCCAGTCGCCTGAGATCTGCACGCTTGGGACGTGCTCCAACACCGAGGGAAGCTTCACCTGTCTGTGCCCTGAGGGCTTCCAGCTCTCCGCCTCCGGACGCAGATGTTTGGGTAAGTGCATGTGCAAGTGCACGTGACGAGACACACCGTGGAGGAATTTGAGTCAGGCCAGGCTTCATAAATGTAAGACGTGGACACCAAGCAGCAGGCAGGTGTTTGAAACCTTTCTGAGGACATTTTCTGAGCCCCGCTGGTTCTGAACTGACCCGTTTTCCATTTCTTCACGTTTGCTTCTCTGACGGCGCTGCATGTGCTTCTGGGCTGTGTGGGGCGCTGAGTCCTCGTTGAATCACTGAAGCGATGACCTCACCGGGTCACTCAGGAACCGTACGGGTTTTATTTCACAATGCTGTGCAGTCTCAGGACTTCTCTCATTTCTCTTCACGAGGAGGGGCCAAGAACCCGTTTAGCTGAGGACAGACAATCTGCTGCAGGTTCCATCTTCATTTAGTGTGAATTTAAGTACCTTCATGAGATCTCGAAACAGATCTGAGGTCAGATTCTGAACATGTCTCTGTCCTCAGAACAAAAACTGCAGAAAAAATAAATCTGAAAGAAATTCTTAATTTGTTGAAGACTGAACATTCTTTAAAAGAGTTCCAGAGCATCCATCAATTTTAGATTTACATCCAGTCCTTACTCTCTGAGAGTTTCATTAAATCACGTCCACTTGTTCATGAGATATTTTGCTAACACACTCACAGGAGGTTACATTGTTGCCCATCTTTCGGGGCAACAGGCAATAAAAGTGTCAGCATCAACCATTGGATTGACCTTTTCCATCCATTCCCTTTACCTGCTTCTCTATTCTGGGTCGCGGGTCGCTGGTACTCCAGCATTCATTATGAGAGACGGGGGGAGCCTGGACATGTCTCCAGTCCATCACATGGACACTTGGAGACCTAATGTGGAGGGTTTTAGTTAGGCCTGTCACGATAACAAATTTTGCTGGGCGATTAATTGTCTCAGAAATTATTGCGATAAATGATAATATTGTTTGAAATTTGACAATAATTAGTAATTATTGTCAAATTTAAGAAGAAATGTTGGTAAATTTTTCTGTGTAGTGTTTTTTTTTTTTACCACTGGATGGCAATACAAGACTGTTTGAACCAAAGGATGGATAGTGAAGGAGTGAGCAGCATGTCTCTATGAAAAATGGGAGGGAGGCCCCTTGACGTGACAAGTGTCTCTCCTTCCTGTTTTTCGGTTCTCAAAATGGCAAACGCTCGGTGTGGTTTGAGCTCTTTAGCATAACATTTGTCACACTAAGCTTTTAATTTAAAAATCAGTAAACAAGTTTTCAGCTTCTTTTTGCAGAAAACAACATTTTACACAAAGGCACAGGTTTCAACCGTGAATTTTTGGAGCTTCGACAAGACGGAGGTTTTTTCCCCAAGGTCGGCCTGTTAGCTTAGCTCGTAGCTTAAAAATGTGATTTTGGATTATTAAAACAGATTTTAAAGAGAAAAGAGAAAGGGAGGGGTCAGTGAAGAGCACCGGAGTTGAGTCTTTTGTCATCCAGTGTCTTCAGTAGAAAGAAAGAGACACGAAGAAACGATAAAGCTGATAAATGAAAATGAGGTTGATAATTTTAATTTATCATGCGATTAATTGATTTATTGTTTATCGCGACAGGCCTGATTTTAGTCTGCGGGAGGAAACCCACGGGAGAAAAGCGAGAAAAGCCCCAGGCCAGGAGGCAAATCTGTGACCTTCTCACTGAGAGGCGGCAGCTCTGACCACTGCACCACCGTGTGGAACCCGTTCAGGAGTGTTTCTGGGGCGAGAGCTTCGACTCAACCTTTAGAGTCACTAAATCTCAGCGTGTTTCAGCGTCTGTGGAATGTGCTGTAAAAACAAACCTAATCCACAGACAGAGAGGTTCTGCTATCATTCTGGGCCTGATACCACAGGACACCTTTAGGAAGGTTTGAAATGTTTAGGGGATCATCGGGTGTAAAATATTACACTGACCTATGAATGCGTTCGTCAGACGTCTGTAATTTACTGCTTCACGTGTTCAACAGCGCATCGTTCATTTTAAATAAAGACGCTGACATGCAGAAGCTGTGGTTGGATTTAACTCATGCTGTGAAGCTTCGTGATTCAATGCCTCTGAGGTGAAACTGGTCCAGATCTACGTTCAGTGGGATTATTTCCAAATGATTGTTGATGTGCAAAACTTCAGCTGTTCAGTTGGTCTGGAGCGGTTTCATAACAGAGCCTGGGTTCAGCCGGTTCATGCTGCACGTTTGTGAGTCAGATCACTTGCAGATGACCAGCATCGACAGTGAGCCGTCCAGAACGGAGCTCTCTGGCTGATGCAAATGATCCGAAACACAACAGGATGGATGAAAATGGCTGAAAGGAGGAGTTGCAGTGGTTCGGTTCAGGTCCAGGTCCTTACCTCAGTCTGACTGAAAGGCTTCGTTGGAGCTTCAGGAGAGATTAAAAAAACGTCTTCAAACCTCACTCCACTGAATAACGTTGTGGAATCAAAACGTGCTGTGGCTGCGTTTTGTGCTGCAGTTTCTGAAAGCTGTGAGTTTTTTGTGTGCACGGCTTGTAGGACTGTACTCTGGGCCCTGCACATTATTTTGTTGCCCACATTGTACCCGCCCCCACGTTTAGGACTGAATCAGCTGAAGTTCACTTTATCAGCGGGGGTTAGACCTGGACCTTTGGCATGACAGCCTCGGATGTCTTCTGTCAGAACAAAACTAAACTGAGACTTTTTCAAGACTTCCGTGACAAAACTGAGAAGGGTTTGCAACGCCGGGAACAGCTCTGCAAGTATTCTGAGAGGAAATCTTTTCGAAAATGTTTAGAATTCATTCAACAAAGGAAACGGAGAACCACATTTTGAGACCTCTGAGACGGCTGTTCGCCAGCCCGTCTCTGACAGCCACAGCTCAGACTCTGGTTTAGCTCAGCGTTTCATAAATGATCACATGTTTTATGCCAGAGCTGTTTTCCAGGCTCATAACTTACATTTTGAGGAATCTGAAGTTCTCCTCGTCAGTTTGTGTTGAATGTGTCCTCTGTCTGAATCACTGCCCTCAGATATCCGCATCAGCTACTGCTACACCAAGTTTGAAAACGGGCGCTGCCTCGCTCCCAAGGCCCAGAACACGTCCAAGGCTGAGTGCTGCTGCACCATGATGCCAGGTCAGGGCTGGGGAAGGCCCTGTGAGATCTGCCCCAGCAAAGGAGAGGGTGAGTACACTTCCTGCCACGTACAGCTGCAGAACCCCACTCACCCAGCACACACACTTTTTGCCCCGCTCCCCTCAGGCAGGAGGTTGTGGAGCATCTGCACCCTGCAAATGTTGGATGCTGCCTATCACGGTGCGCTAAGATTCATAACAGGCTGTAACTACCGTACCCATCACTGCACCCTGTATTCACTGGTTAACTGGTCATCATTAACTTCACGCAGACTCTCTCACTGGTAAATTTTTATCTTTAAATCACTTCTCGGTCTGCTGCCTTCATACATCTCCTCCCATATGTCACATCATCAATGCAGTTACAGAGTGCGCTCTCAAGACATTATTACCTGCAGCGTCCCCTCAGTGCAGACTGAACTAGGCAAAAGGGTCTTCTCTTACTCCGCTCTTGTTTCCTGGAACACCTTGCAAAAAGATCTGAAGCTCTCGACCTTGACCTATCTAAGGGATTTTAAACATCTGCTAAGTTCATGTCAAAAAACCAATGCAGACATGTTCCTGTTTTTAGCTTTCTACGTCACTTTATAATGTAGCTGTTTCGTTTCATTTTATATACGTAATTTATTTTATTTACTTTTCATTTTATATGCTTTCATATGTTTGTCTATTGTTGTCTGTACCTCATCTGCATTCTTTGTTAAAATCAGGTCTCTCTTGTAAATGAGTCCTCGAGGCTCAATGAGACGAACCTGTATAAATAAAGGTTGAATGATTGAATTAAGTGTAGAACCACTAGACTGAGGAACAGCTTCTACCCTGAAGCTTAGACTCATAAATCCCTAATCAGAATAATCACTGTAATGCCACTTTAATTGGTGACATGTCACTCTATGCTGCTGATTTCTTGCCTTTAAGCTGCTGTATTCATACCCATCTGCTCACAACAGGCTCATGTTCAGGCTGCTGTTTAATACTTGTATTATATTACATAATTATTGTTGAGCATATATCTTAGATCTTTGTATACTTTTTCTTTTTATATCTTATATTTTTGCTATTTTTGGATGTAACTGGGACCTTGAGTACACAATTTTGTTCCACCTCATGTACCACATGTGATGCAAATGACAATAAAGAACCATGAACCATGAACACAAACACGCTTAAACGCTCCACTGAAGCTCACACACAGGACGGATGCACAGATAGGTATCAGCAGCACATGAAACAGCCTGGTATACTACCGGTACCTATAGGGTACTACTCACAGGGTACACACGTGCTACCTACAGGGTATTTTCTGGGTAATTACAGGTACTTCCTCAGTAAGAACGGGGCTGTGTTCTGTACTGTTACAAAGATCTACATTTATTAGTGTTTCTGACAGTTCTGTCATTTCTTTGTTCCAGAGGGGTATCGTCTTCTGTGTCCTAACGTGGGGTACGAGCGCGGGCCGGACGACCATCCCAAAGGTTCATACGGACTGAATCTACTCTGATCTGTGTCTCTTTGGAACTTTCAGGACGTCCCTTTACTTTGTGTTTTAGATATCGACGAATGCATCAACGACCCGTGCGTTAACGGGCAGTGCATCAACACCGATGGCTCGTTCCGCTGCGAGTGTCCCATGGGGTACCACCTGGATGTTAGCGGAGTCACGTGCGAAGGTCCGGTTCTCCTGTCCTGTCGCCCCTCTCTCACACGTGCTCGTTAACGCGGCGGTGGATTATAATCTCAACTGTCTTCCGTGCAGACAAGAACGAGTGCGACGTCGGTAATCCTTGTGGTAACGGCACGTGCACTAACGTGATCGGTGGGTTTGAGTGTGCGTGCGATGAAGGCTTCGAGCCCGGAGCCATGATGACCTGTGAAGGTACGTCAGACTCAACCCCCCCCCCCCCCCCCTCTCCCTTGGTCGTTTTAGTTTTATTTTGTGATTTATTCTTTGTTCTTTCTCCAGACATCAACGAGTGCTCCCAGAATCCTTTGCTGTGCGCCTTCCGCTGCGTTAACGTGGTGGGCTCGTATGAGTGTAAATGTCCTACGGGCTACGTGCTGCGTGAGGACAGAAGGATGTGCAAAGGTACGTCAGGAGGATGACTCACCCGTACTCAGAGCTCTCTCAGACCCGGTCCGTTTACGGGGAAGAGAATAAACAAAGTTCCTCAGACGTTTGGGCCCCGTCCATAAAGTTACATAAGTCGTTATCTGAGAAATCCTGAAGGGCTCTCTGTCTGCGAGGAACATAAAACAGTTCAGGCCCGCTCTGTTTGGATCCTGGGCGCCATGGCAACGGGTGTATTTGGACGGACACTCAGAGACAGGAGGAACCCGTCTGTAGCATCACTGTTTACAGTGAAGATCCAAACAGATCTGCGAGTCTGTGGGTCCAGAAGAGCTCAGCGTGGGACGATGGGCAGTTTGAATAAACTTTGGAGGATGAGTGTTGGTGTTCCACTCCGATGTAACTGTTCTGTAAAAACATTTGTCCCCTTTCAGACCAGAATGAGTGCGAAGACGGTATCGATGACTGCGCCAGCCGGGGGATGACCTGCAAGAACCTGATCGGTACCTACATGTGCATCTGCTCTCCTGGATACACCCGGCAGCCCGGTGGAGACGGATGCATGGGTAACGATTGCTCAGACAAACTTTCCTCTGGTTGTGTCTGCAGATTGAAAGCAGCTGTTCTACATGTATCATTTTAACCATCGCCCTTCAGGTTATTGATGTTAAATGAGTTCCTGCTGACGCTACAACCTCAGAGAGGAGTCTTTAGGCGTCTGAACAAGCAACAAATAAAATAAAAGGAAACACGTTTTATAATCAGCAGGTTATCCAAACCATTCATTATACTCTAAACGTTTCTCAGGTATGTCTGAGGCATTAAAACACGCTGCAGGGAGTGAAACAGTGTTTGAATTATCCAATTATCTGGATGCAGTAAAGTCCTTAAGCTTGTTCACTCTGATGTTCGTAAAAGCTTCAGCTCATATTAGCTGTGTAGTATGTATGAACTCACTTAACCCTCAGATGGTAAACGCTGGAGAAAATCATATTTTTTATTAATTTATTGTCGATGTAAATAAACAAGACTTCCTGACAGCTTAAAAATCATTCTATATATTTTTTATTGTCAGAATAGTTCCAGATGCTCCTGTAACCACAGTGACGTTGCTGCCCTCTAGTGGTGTTCAGGGGAACTTGACCACATTTAAATCCTTTATAAATGCATTTATTGATCACATCATAAAAGGGTAATGTTTTTTATTTTACCTCTATTTCTTTACTTTTAATTATTACATTAGCCTACTTCTACAGCCCACCACTGTAAAAATCACTGTCAGGGGGCGGGACTTACCTGGAAGAGGTACGTCCGTCTCAGGTGATTCCTGAAGAGTTCCTATCTCATCTCGTCCAACTAAACCGCTTAAGTTTAGGTGTAAAGAGTAAAAACACATTTGAGTTGTGCACGAGTGAACATGTGGTACAAAACAGCAGAGCCACGTGCACACAGGTTGAAGAATCATCCGCTTCAAGGCTGAGTTCTGTTGGCTCGACCCACAACATGGTACCGTCATTGGATGGACCGGACTGCAGCAGCCCTGTGGTCAGCCGGTTCAGGAAAAATAAAAAACTAACCACACGCTGGCGTTGTGCACCATCTGAACATATAAAAAATTAAGAAAAATAAATAAATTAAAGAGTATAAAAACCTCCATGTCAGACACCGACCCGACTTGTGGATGTTTGACCTGAAAACAAGATGTCATTTTCAGCAACAGGTTCTGGACGGTCCAGTGGGCTGGATGGTTTTTCCCAAATTCTGGACTGGATTTTATTTTTTTTTTTAAGTCAAAAATACTTTTCCAAGACTGAAAAATACCTTTAAAGGAATTAGAAAAAGAAAAATATTTTGTCACTTTTATAAAACTGAAGGCCTCTAAGGAGCTCAAATGTAATAATTTAGTTTATTTATAAAGCGCCGAGTTACAAGAGAAGTCGTCTCAGGGCACTGAACAGAAACAATCATATATGAAAATAATAATTTAACATTATTTATCTGAGGAGCAGATGGATTTGAATTTAACTCCATCACAGACTCTCATCTTGAGCAAGCATGAAGGCGACAGTGGAAAGGAAAAACTCTCTCACGAGGATGAAACCTTTAGCAGAACCAGGCTCAGGACAAGCGGCCATCTGCTTCGACCAGCTGGGTTTGAGAGGAACAGATAATTAATTTAAATTGAATTTAAATGTAATGTCATTTAAAATATTTATTTCAAGCTGAAGTAGCTCTAAAAGACTGAATAGCTCATTGAGAACAAACATATTTTTCAAGCAGTTAAATAAAATAAAACTTATTTTTATAAAGTGAAAGGATCATGTGAGGGTTAAAGAACTTTTACTTTAAATGCATTTAATTCTGTCTAATAATAATGATAATAATAAAGAGTGATAAAACGTTGTTTTTCTTTGTCAGACCTGAATGAGTGTTCGGCCAAGCCGGGCGTCTGTAAGAACGGCCGCTGTGAGAACACCGTGGGGAGTTTCCGCTGCAGATGTGACCACGGATTCATCGCCAACCCCACTCAGACAGAATGTCTCGGTGCGTTCAGAGCTTCAGCTTCTGTTTAGCTACTCTTCAGCTGCTGTTGGTGTTTAGCTTGTGTTTCACTTGCTTTACCGTTAACGCTTCAGTTCTAGTTTTAGCACATTCCCTGTGTTTCTATTGGCATTACTTTACCAAACCGGACTAAAGTCTAGTTCAACGAACGTCTAAAGTTTTTTCTGGTCTAAGTTTCCACATTCGGCTGCGATGAGGAGAGTTGGAGGAAATCTTTCCTCGGTTGGTGAGAAAACCTTCAGAGGGCTGCGTTAAAGCTAATCTTCCTCACAGACTGACGTGTGGCTTATTTTCTCAGGTTTGCTATCTGAGGCCACGTCCTGTCTGGGTGCGATCGTCTGCCTCCCTCGGACCATCTCGGCACTCACGTTTCTGTCCCTCTCGCCCTCAGATAACCGTGAAGGCTTCTGTTTCACTGAGGTTCTGACCACACTGTGCCAGATGAGTTCCAGCAACAGGAACCTGGTGACCAAGTCCGAGTGCTGCTGTGACGGGGGCCGAGGCTGGGGCACCAACTGTGAGCTCTGCCCCCTGCCAGGAACCACCCACTACAAGAAGATGTGCCCCCTGGGTCCTGGATACACCACCGATGGCAGAGGTACCACATAAACTGCTAGCCCTCAGATTACATGTTGGGGAGTACTTTCAACTACTACCACACCGAAATTCAGCTCGGTATCTGTGAAACTGGCTGTGGTATAGAACAGGGCTGTTTGTTCATCAAGGATTACTTCTAGTTACAATCTGTCCAGGGATTTGTTACATATTTAGCTACGAAACAAACAGAGAAAAAGATATTTTCATGATTATCCGCTGTCATTTCAACAAACCCGACAGTCCAAAACTACAGCTGCAAAACCTGAAACTAATTTCTTATTTTAGGATGTGACAAGATTTAAAAAGGAGCTGATCAAAGCCAAACTATTTACAGAAACAGACTCTGATCCATTTTTTATTCAAGTTTAATTCCAAAATCAGTCTACAGCAGCTGGAGAAATGATCTGACAGCTTCATTCCTGTCCCTTGATTAAAAAATAAAACCATAAACTTGCTAAAATGATTGCTTACCTATGAAAACTGAACGGAGTGAAAATATCCACGAGGGCGTTGTGATAAGAATGTAGAGTTCACAGCCGGTTGTAGAAATCAACAATTCTTTATTCTAGTCTATTTACACTCGACACATTCCTGCTAAACAACAGCAGCTACAGAAGAATACTGAAGTGAGTTTAGTGGAGCGGCCCATTTCAAATTCAACTAGAGAAAGTGCATTTCCTGTGAAAATGCTATGTGAATGCTTATTGCAGAAGAACTTGCTGGAAAAACAGCTGAAATTAGCTAAAAACATGCTGGAATGTACTTTGTTGCTGAACTGGAAGAACAAATGTAAATTAGCAGAAGAAAGCAGAAAGAACCCATATTTGATGAATTGGGTTTGAATCAGCAGAATTTACCACAAAAATAAAGAAAATTAGCTAAAAAAAATAGCTGAAAAGGCAAAAAAAGCTTAAACTACCAGATGGAAGCGGAAAGAACTGAAATGAGCTAAAAAGATGTGGAATTAGCTGAAAAAGCTAAAAATTAGCATCTAAAGAGCTATATTGCAGCTGAAAGAGAAGAAAAGGCTGAAACTAGCAGAAAAAGTTTAAATGAACATAAGCTGAAATTAGCAGAAGAAAGCAGAAAGAACATGTTTTCCCAATTAAGCTGAAAGAAGCCAAAATTAGCACAAAAAAAATTAGAATTTATCTGTAAAAAGCTGAAATTAGAGAAAAAAAAGTCAGGTGAAAAGTAGCTAAAACAGAGAAAGAAGCTGAAGTTATCAGAAGGACATTGAGAGAGCACATTTTTGCTGAATTAGGCTGAAAAAGGTTGAAACGAGTGCAAAAAATGTGGAATTAGCCAAAAAAGCTGAAATTAGCATAAAAGCAGCTGGCAGTAGCTGAAGTAGCAGAAAAAGCTGAAACTCGCATAAATAAGCTGAAAGGAGCATAATAAGCTGAAATTAGCAGAAATAAGTTAGAAGAAGCACAAAAATGTTGTAGTTGGCTGAAAGAATCAGAAAGGAGCACAAAAAGCTGAAAAAAAGCTGAAAGTTGCTGAAAAAGTGTAAATTTGTACAAGGAAGCTGAAAGAAGCTGAACCAGAACAACATGTGAAAGGAGCAGTAAAAGGCTGTAAACAAATCTAAAGATCTGAAGGATGTAACATGAACTCATGAGTTCATTTTATAAAATGGCAGAAAAGGCTAAATATTTCAAAAAGCTAAAGTTGCACCAATACCAAAAGTCATATCACCCTTCTCCTGAACAAGCTGAACGTTCTGATATATGATTTGTTGAAATGGCTCAAAAATTGTGGAACGTGGAAGATGCTGAAAAATGTACGGAAGAAAAATGGATCACAATAGTGTGAATGCTTTTGAAACATCACACAACGAGTGGATTCTTGTTTTATTCTGGTGTAACCCTGTGTTGGGTTTACTTCAGAGGTCAGAACTCAGAACTGACCTGGGACCAGGTCAGACCAGATGTGTTCCAGCTGAGGGGACGTTCTCTGAACAGTTCAAGGCTCAGAGTCAGGCCTGGACCGCTGCCATGACACTTTCCTGGATCTTAATTTTGAAAAATGTTTTCTGCTCTGTAGAGCTAACTCGTGTTAATCTGGGACAAACCTTTTGTTTTTCCCCCGCCGCAGACATCGATGAGTGTCGCGTGATGGCAAACCTTTGTAAGAACGGTCAGTGCATCAACACCTTGGGCTCCTACAGCTGCCTCTGCAAATCGGGGTACACCACGGACATCACGGGCTCTCTGTGCGTGGGTAAGCCTGACCCTCACCTCTTTACGGACCCCCTCCCTGTCCCTGCTGGAACTATGTGGGTCTGTCTCATTCTAAACTCTTTGTGTCCCTCAGATGTGGACGAGTGCATCCAGGCACCGAAGCCTTGTAACTTCATCTGTAAGAACACCGAGGGGGCCTACCTGTGTTCCTGCCCCAGAGGCTACATCCTGCAGGAGGACGGGAAGAGCTGCAGAGGTGAAGCTCAGCTGTGGTTTGGCATCAGGGCCCGTGCCACGTTGCAGCAGCCTGTGTCTGTTTAGAAACTGTTTGTAAGACCCCCTCTCATCTGCATTTACTGCAGCTTTAGTTCCCCTCTGCAGGACCCCTCTGTGAGTCCGGCTCTGGTACAGTCGTGGTTCATTCGTAGGTCAGACTGTTAGTCTGGAATGTAACTGAAGGAAGCGGCTCCGGGACACACTAACCTTATCTCCGGATTTTAAAGCTGTTTAAAACTTGTTTTCAGATCTGGACGAGTGTTCGACCAAACAGCACAACTGTCAGTTCTTATGTGTGAACACCATCGGGGGCTTCACCTGCAAGTGTCCTCCAGGCTTCACCCAGCACCAGACGGCCTGCATCGGTAAATCCACACATCTAGAGTACATGTTTACCCAACATTCACTCCTGGAGTCAAACCCACACTTCATCCATAAACAGTTTGTTCCTCCATCGTCCTCTTTTCCTGGAGATGAGGCCTCGCTCTGCTCTGAGCTCCGTGTTAATGAACTCAGCTCCCATGACCTGACGACAGGAAGTCCTCACATCAGTTCTGGGTCCAAGCTACTGAGGGATCATTCAAGTTGAACTTTCAGAATGTCCTGATAAAAATGATGGATCAGTTGAATTCTGGCAACTTGGGTCTGTTGTAGGACAGGATGTTTTTTAAAGGAATTATAAATCTACTTTCACTGTCCAGGCAGTTAGTGACTCAGAATTAAAGGAAAATATGCACATTATCTGTTGCAGCCACTGAATTCTGCCTCCAGCGAGCTGTTTGGCACAGCCAGTTAACAAAATATCACGTCCCCATTTTTGTGTGCACTACTTGCAAAACCTGAGGCTGGGGCTCTTCCTCTAGAAAATTTTGAATAACATACATGCGATTTCCTTCATTTTAGTGTATTTTAACGTGTTGTTAAACATCTATGTTTTCCTACATTTGTAAACACTCCGCTTCTGTCAAGCATCCCCCCGATTACTTGACGGTTTTGAGCCCGACACTGTCCCTGCTCGTTGTTGTCCGACTCCACATGTGAAGTCTCCAGGCGCCTGCCTGCTGCTGCCTGTGGGCTCCTGCCGGTGTACGACTGCCTGATTAGCTCGGCGCTCACCCCACCACTCTTTTTGGGGCTGAGATTATTTTTTTTTAAGGGTAGAAACGGAAATGCTACTCGAAGGGGCAGCTCTTATGTGATACTGAATGAAGCTGTAAGTGGCTGTTGTGTTTAAAATGAGTGTTTATGTAATTATTTGCAGTTTGCATGTCCAATATAATAAGTTGTATTCGTTCAAGGCAGTCATATTTGTTCATAACTTTATTGTTAGTAAGTCTGAGAGTTACCGGATCCGAGCAAACGGTTACCAGAACACAACTTGTCAAAATAAGAGCGTTCCTGGACCCTGTTCCGGCAGGATCTGGCTCAAATTAAGCAATGTCCTAACAGTTTATGTCTAAAAACGTTCGGCTCATTCAGGACATTCCTGCTGTGATGTCTGCTGCTTCTGTAGTTTTTATCTTTTGACACATTTAGATTTGTCGGCCATGTTCTCCTCATTGAAAATGAATGGAGCTCTCTTCACATCCTTCAAACCCTTTAGCTATTTAACAATCTTTTACTGCTCATTTCAGCTGTTTTCAGCTTCTATGTGCTGGTTTCAGCATTTTCAGCAGTATTTTCTGCTAATTTGAGCCTTTTTATTGCTATTTGTCTTGTTCATGTTGACCCTTTACGCTTCTTTCTAATACTTTCTACTTGTTTGCTTCGTTCAGCCTCTTTCTGCTGATTCAAACTTTTTTGTTGTTGCTTTTGCAGCTACTTTCTTGACTGTTAATTTCAGATTCTTTGTAATCTGTTCAGCCTCACTGCTTATTTCTGCTCTTTTCAGTTTTTCTTGTCCTGCTTTCAGCAAATGTCAACAGTTTAAATTGAACTCGCATGAACAGTTTTGTGATGAAACTGTTTCTTTCCTCAGGAAATGACATTTCTCTGGTTATTATTTGCTGCCAGCATGTTCTTTAGACGTGCTCTCGGGGCTGTAGCCTCAGATGGTTTGTGTGGAGCTCTGGAGACGTCCACAGGACTGTCCTGACAGAAGAAACATCACTCGAAGTTTCTGTTTAAAACTCCAGTGACTCGCACAGAACGCTGAGCAGCACCACAGATGTAGGGAGACGTTCTGGAACAAATGCAGCCCAGTGAGAAGGTTTTTTATCTGTCAGAGCATCTGACACGAACTTTAACAAGAATTTAACAAGATTAATACTTAAAAACAATTCTTTGTTTGCTCAGAATTATAGCAAAGGTGTGTCTCAGTCTAACTTTTCTTTAATAAATGCACTTTGACAGTCAAATCATCTGTATTTTCAAAAGCCGATACGCGGAAACATGAACACGCAGAGGGCGACTCGCTGTGCATTTCTTTGAAATTTAACAAGATAACTACCTAAAACAAACAATTAGCTCGACTTTGTAGTAAAGATGTGTCTCAGTTGAATTTTTACTTAATAAATGCACTTCAACGGTCAAATTAGCTGCATTTCACCGGGGCGGCGCAGCAAAATGAAGCTGAGTTGACAGTTGCTCCAGACAGATGATGGTGGCAGGCTATGGCAAGCCGATTGTGTCATTAATAACCACGTTTATCTATTACATGACACAACAGCATGCCGTACAACTCGAGTGCCATGTAGCGGCTGAAAATGGTAGTGTTCAATATTTTCAGTCAGAAAGAATGAAAACGGTCATATCTCAGCCATAAATTGGTTTATAAATATGAAAAAAATCCATAAATACATCGCTTCGGCATATAAGTCGCAGAGCATGCAAATTATTCAAAAAACTGCGACTTATAGGGCGAAAAATATGGTAGTTGTGTTTTTAGGTCAGCTGCAGGTTAGACTGCAACTACTTGCCCTCACAGTGGCGGCTCGTTGGGCTCTTTGCCTGGTTCAGACAGATGTTTGGGTCACCTGCATGAAGGACTGGAGCTGACCTGGGATCAGCTGTAATGCTGCTCTGTAGGTTTTAGAAAGCTGAAATCTGAGACCTCCTCCTCTGTTTAATTGGCTCCTTCACCTCCTCTCAGACCACCTGTCCTCTCTGTCCAACATCTGGACCTGTTGGTCCTCAGCCGTGTCCCTTATCCTTGAGGTGCAGGTGGACCTCTGAGTCTCTCCAGTGTTGGACCATGCGTCTGTGGAGGTTCTGTCCTCAGGATGGACCAGCCTCTGTCTGAGGGTCCTGTTGGGTTTAAAAAGGACCAGGATGTTGTGTTTGGACTTTCTCAGATCCTCCAGCAGCATCTGGGATAACATTTTTGTGTTTGATCTGTTCTGCAGTGTGTCTTTTGGATTTGTTTGCTGAGTTGACAAAGGTCCAGCTAGGACCCGTGTGAATAGGTTTCCTGTGAACTTCAGTGTTGAGGCTTCATCTCTGTCCACCAAACAGTCCATGACAGCAGCTTGTTGTAAAAATCTCAACCAGTTGTGGAAAGATCCAGGATCACACATTCAAAGAGTTGGTTTTCTATTTCTGTGATGTTTGCTGAAAGGACTGATCTGCAGTGAGAGTGGGGAGCAGGTGGAAGAGAGCCTGGAGAGGTAGATTATATGAGATTTAAAAGTTAGATCCATCCTGTTTCTGCTGATAAACCCATTCAGGGCCAGAATCAACCGCTCTGTTATATTTCCTGTTCTCTGATCAGAACCTCCTCTCCTTCTGTGCAGACAACAACGAATGTTCCACAGACCCAAACCTGTGCGGTTCCAACGGGGTCTGCCAGAACACTCCAGGGAGCTTCAGCTGTGACTGCCAGCGAGGATTCTCTCTGGATGCCAGCAGACAAACCTGTGAAGGTCAGAGAACGACCGAACCTCCACAGAATCAGCTGATTTATGGCAGAAAGATCTAGTTAGAACGTGTTCTGGTTCTTGACAGATATGGACGAGTGCGATGGAAGCCACAGGTGTCAGCACGGCTGTCAGAACCTGGTGGGCGGGTACAGATGCAGCTGCCCTCAGGGATACCTGCAGCACTACCAGTGGAACCAGTGTGTTGGTGAGCACGCCTCTTTTCTCCTGGAAAGACAACTTGTCTGTTCTTTTGAGACATGGGTTCCCAATTTGGAGGGAGCTAAAGATCTCAGGGGACATAACACTTTATTTCTTTCTGTTGGTGCATGAAGGTGGGGGGAGGGTATGAAGAAACAAAGGATGGGAAGATCTGTTTTAAAGAGTATGGGATGTCTGTTCAAACTGTCCATATTTTGTATCTTTCCTGAAACATTCACCCGCTTCAAATGTTATCGGTCATTAAATGGCCATTATTAGTTGTTAATTTATTTATTTAATTATTTCTATAGCACTTTACACAACCATGGTGATGGTGACCAAAGTGCTTAACAAAAAACAGTACTTAAAATGACAATAGGTTAAAAGCAAGAAAACACAACATAATAGCACAAATAAAACCAGAAATGTTACCACATATTTACGTACTAAAAGCTTGTTGGAATAAAAAAGTCTTAAGCTTCGATTTAAAAGGGCCAAGTTCAGTAATCTGACGTAGATCAAGTGGGAGCTTATTCCAGAGTCGAGGTTATCTCTATATGCAGTGGTCAGACTGCCCCTGCTGTACCTCCTACTGGGTTTAAAGGTACGTTGTTAGCGCTGATAATAGGCTAACGTGGTTAGGTTCAGAGTAAAGGGTCTGGGTTAGGTTTAGGCACAAGGGTAAGGGGGTTAAGTTTAGGGTTGGTCCTCTGGGTCAGGTGTAAGGTTAGGTTTAAGAAAAGGGTTACATAAGCTGAAAAAACCCACTTCCTGGTTTACCCGTGTGCGATGCTGCATATCATCAGCGATTATAACGATAATAACGTACCTTTAAACCTTCTAGGAGGGACAGTCTGAACACTAACTACGGGGATGATAACAACTAATAACAGACAATTTAATGAGCTGAAACTTTCAAATGAAGCATCAAAACATTTATCCTGATGCATGCTCAATAATCCAGGTAGAAAAATCCAAGAAAGTTCAATCTGGTCCTCTGGACATTCAAAAAAACAAAAAACAAAACAAAGCAAAAAAATGTAGAAACGTTTCGTCTCTCATCCAAGAGACTTCCTCAGTCTGAGCTGCTGTTTTCAGCTCAGTCTCTTAAATAGCACCTTCTCAGAGTGGATCAGCCAGTTTTGCTGCTGACAACCAAAACCAACTGATCACATGCTCAAGAAGGACCATCAGCCTAACAAAGGATCATTAGCACACTGATGGCTGTTTACTATTCAAAGGGGGTTGAGTGATACCAGCTTTGAGCTGAAAACAGCAGCTCAGACTGAGGAAGTCTCTTGGATGAGAGACGAAACGTTTCTACATTTTTTTTGCTTTGTTTTGTTTTTTGTTTTTTTGAATGTCCAGAGGACCAGATTGAACTTTCTTGCATCAAAACATTTATTTTCTGCAGAAGTTTCATGTTTGTTCCTCACTGGGAGACAAGAAAAGTTTAAAAATCTGTTTTTAAGAACAGCGTGAGATGAAAACAAAACTATTTTTCATTCTTTGGTTGTTTGTAAAGATTCAGTTTGGACGTCTTCATGCGATATCGTTCAGGGCAGACCTTCCCAGTATTGTTTGTGTCTTTAACTGGAATGACCTCCTCGGTTGTTGACTTCCTGCCTACTTCCTGTGACCCAGATGAGAACGAGTGTCTGAACAGTCAGATCTGCGGGGGGGCGTCGTGCCACAACACCCTGGGGAGCTTCCGCTGCCTCTGCCCCAACGGCTTCAACTACGAGCAGACCTCCGGGGGCTGCGCCGACGTCAACGAGTGCTCCACCAGCCAGAACCCCTGCAAGTTTGGCTGCTCCAACACCGACGGGGGCTACCTCTGTGGATGTCCCCCCGGATACTACAGAGCGGGACAGGGGTACGCAAAGATCTGCTGTTGAGACGAGCTGCCAGCTGTGCAGCGGGCTCACGTCTCTGTGTGTTTCAGGCACTGCGTCTCCGGTCTGGGCTTCAGTGGTGGACAGGAAGAAGGGGGGGAGGTGGACGACAACTCACTCTCACCTGAAGCCTGCTATGAATGTAAGATCAACGGCTACCCCAAGAAGGGCCGCAGGCGCCGCAGCACCAACTCCACGCAGGACAGTCCTCCTATGGACCTGCAGGTAACCTGTCTGCTCGGGGGACACCAAGACCACCGGGTCGTAGGGGGTCGGTCTGCAGGAACATGAATAAAACTCTCAGAAAACTGTGGCAGCCATCTTGATTAAGTTTACTCCAAACTTTACTGAGTAGTAGATGTTCATACACTAATTATTAGGGATGCACGATATTATCGACGGCACGGTGTCAGACAGTATTAGCGATAAAGTTAAATATCGGACATTCCATCAAAATAACTCACAGATATAAAAGGCGCTGCTTGCGCATATTAAATATATATATATATATATATATATATATATATATATATATATATATAAATGTCAAATATAAATTTGACATTAAACATAATCCAATTTGAAGTGTTACATCATTTTCAGTCCCCCTTTTGGCATCTGCATTTGGTAGCAGTCCAAAGTGACAAAAACCATGCAGAATAATGTAGTATTAATTCCACAGCAGAGAAAGCTGTGTAGTCTCTGTAAGTAGGTCTAGGAAAATAATATTGGTGCTGGTACCAGTTATCAGCCAAATAAGTTTTAACATATGGGATATCGGCCAAAAATCCAATATTGTGCATCCCTACTAATTATCATTCTAAATGACCTTCATTTGTTCTAACTTTTCTTAGTTTCAACATGTGATAAGTTCATTAATAGAATATAGGATTATGAGATTTGCAAAACGTTCCATTTTTGTCCTCTGCTGTGGAGCGAACAGGGGAACTGGAAATATCTGGTGTCCGTCCATCTGTCTATCCTGCTAGTGAGCATGATTACTAAAAAGAATATGTGAGGTATTACTTAAAAGTAATTTGGCCACCATTAGTTATTGTTATTTAATATTCGCTGCTTTCTGCTGTGTTTCCTGCAGCTGACGGAGGAGGTGAGCCTGGCCAGCATGGACACTGAAAACACCCTCCAGGTGCACCTGAACATCAGCAGCCTCAGTAACCGTGACCACATCCTGGAGTTCACCCCGGCCCTGTCCACGCTCAGTGACCACGTGCGCTACAACATTGACTACGGCAACGAGGAGGGCCTTTTCAAAATCAACCAGAGGGAGGGCGTCAGCTACCTGCACCTGAGCAAGAAGGCGGTGGTGCTGCCGGGGGCGTACGACCTTCAGATCAGCAGCGTGGCCCTCTACAGGAAGAAGGAGCTGGCTGAGCTGGAGGACCAACATGAGAAAGACTACCTCACAGGACAGCTGGGCGACACGCTGAAGATGAGGGTGCAGCTCATCCTTCAGTAAGAGATGAAGACTTGTTGTCAGCAGCTGCTGCTCCAGAGTCAGCATCAGAATCAGGCCAAACATCCGACTCTGGGTCAGCAGCTCCAGCTTGGAGGAGCTCGCACCAAAGAGACGAGACCAAAGACGATTCTAAATATCATAGATGCAGTTTGTGTGGAAACAGATCCCAGCTGTGTTTGAAGCACTTTGAGCTTTTTTACTTTCGGCCTAATTGTCGTGTGATATGTGGGACCAGGTGCCACTCTGATGGGCACGAGGGCTGCAGAGAGCTCTGCAAGAGTCCCAACTGTCTGATTCAATTCATTTCCTCCCCTCAAGTAAACTGAACTGAACACATCTGGACCGCTCCTCCGTCCCCAGATGTTTAACTCAGTGAAGAAGACGAGATGAAGAACGTTTCGGAGAGGAAAGGAACCGACCGTGGACTGTTGAGATCCGTCTCTGAGCTTGAAGGAATCCTATTTAAACTTTGCTTTCTTGCGTCTCTCCTCCTGACAGAATCGTTCAGATCTACTGGTGCTACCAACACGTCCACAGGGACTCCTGAAGGTCCTGCAGGGACTGCTGAAGGTCCTACAGCTCGGTCCAAAACTCAGTGTTCACACGCAAAAAGACTGCAGCGGCGCCGTGGGAACGGGTTTTAAAGCGCCCCGCAAAAGTATTCACCCCCTCCTGGGAATATTTCTGTCTAGTCGCCTTACAACCTGAACTTTATTGGGTTTTTAATTTTGTTCAAAGTAATAACTTTTCAAAGTTACTCAAGATTGAGAAAGTTAAATGAGGAAAGAAACTGTTTTAAATCATTTAAAAATATAAAACTGAAAAGTGGTTTACAGCCAGGGTGGCACGGTGACGCAGTTGGTAGAGCTGCCGCCTCTCAGCAAGAAGGTCGTCGGATCGAATCCCGACCGGAGCCTTTCTGGGGGGAGTTTGCATGTTCTCTCCATGCATGTGTGGGCTTTCTCCGGGTACTCCAGTTTCCCCCCCACAGACCAAAAACAAACTCTTGTCCCTAGGTGTGAGTGAGAGAGTGAATGGTTTTGTTTCTGTGTCCCTGTGATGGACTGGAGACCTGTCCAGGGTGTCCCCTGCCTTTTGCACAGTAACTGCTGGACATGGGCACCAGTGACCCCCGCGACCCAAAAAGAAAGAAGCGGGTAAAGATGATGGATGGTTTAAAGCCTGAACTGTTCCCTTCAGAAACCCCATCATGAGTTCTGTCAGAACAATCCAAGAGTCAGCTGATCTGACAGAACCAACAGCTCAAAGGAGTGCATCATGAAGACCAAGGATCTCCGCACAACAGGTCCAGTCGAGACCAGAGTCTACCTGAGAACCTCTGGTTTGATTGAAAGATTGTTGGACTCAAGCAGCACCGTCCAAACGAGAGGTGCAGCAGAATGGACAGGTCAGATGGACCGAGATCATGGAGACGGATCTGAAGACACCGGATCTGATGCAGAAGGTGGCCCTGCAGGCGGCTGAATACTTTTGCACACTAAGATTTAAAACTAGCTTTCTCCTCATTTACCTTCATTAATTTGAAGTACTTCGTAAAATTAACAAGTTATAAACAAATAAAATTAAACTTCATGTTTTAAGCCAACAAAATGGAAAGCCGAAGGGGGTGAATAGTTTTACTGACCCACTGGACTTCAGGGGTACTGAGTGAAACGGTTCTCTCCTAAACAGAAACTTAATTTCCCCATTTATAAGCTAATGATTTATTATGAACTTACACAACACTGATGAATGTTTGATCATCTACAAGGGGCTGTAGCACCGTGTTCCCACGGCCCTGTTGGGCATCCCATGAGTCGTTCTGGACTTCCTGCCCTTACAGCTAGCCTCTTTATACATGTAAATGTGTTTATACTGTAATAATCATCGCCACTCTTTATCTATACAGCGTCTGTAAACTAGAGGGGGGGGGGGTGTAATGGTGCTTATAATGACCAACTACTTCCTGTGTAAACTGTGTATACCATACACACAAACAGCCCACACACACCTGTAATGATGCAAACCATGATTCTGCACTGAGGTCTGTGGCCTAACGTCTTGTCACCGGTAAGAACCGGAGCAGCAGACCCATCTGTTCACATCGGTCCGGCTCTGGATGTGAAGTCACAATAAAACTGATTTTTGGTGTACACCGGCTCACTGTTTGTTTCTTCGCTCCTCCTCTGCACTCGTTTGATCAAATCAACAGGATCTGCTCATCAGAATGGAATTACACTAAAAATAAAACTCGGTCCAGATGCTGAGAAATCCACCCAGAACCCAGAACCGCCGAGCTGCTGCAGGAATCACGTCCTGTGCTGCCACCGTGTGGACGTTTCATGAAACAACTCCCATGTTACAAAAACAACTTTATTAAACAAGCACTACATTTATATTTGGAACTTTCAGTTGCGTCCAGTTGATCCAAAGCCTCCAGCGCCGCGGTCCGTTTCATCAAGTGTCTAAAACAAACAGAAACGTGAAGTTAGTGCTGAACGGTGGACAAACGGTTCATGAAAGTTTATAGAAGAGTGGGCCAAAACGTGTAGACCTGGAGATCAACTACAGGAACCTTCTCACAACAAAGGGTTCTCCCAAGAACTGAGCCAGGATCAGATATTTACAGTACTCCATGTAGACCAGACTAACATCCAGCTGTGGTTTCAGTGTTTTGGATTTTTTGTTGATTCAGCCTCTGTTTGTTTCTCTTTGTTCTGTTGTTCTAGTTCTTGTAAACCCAGGTATAACTTCAGTTTACCTTTTCCTCCACCAGGTGCGGGTAACAGATCTTCTCACAAACCAGCTGAGCGACTCTGTCACCTTTCTTCACTGTGAACACAAACACAAATTATTAACTTGGTAACGAACATCACGGATGAGTGACTAACGGTTTAGCTCTTAAACTTAAACAGCTATGCAAGCGCCCAGGGAACAATTAGGGATTAGGTGTCTAATTGCTCCCCGGGCGCTTGCATAGCTGCCCACTGCTCCACCTGGGTGTAGCTCATGTGCAATGTGTTAAATGCAGAGAACTAATTTCATCATTGTATGGGAACATACAATGATGACAACATATACTGTAGCACTTACTTAAATTTACACCTTCTCTTTCAGAATACAATAAAGTTAACGTAACAAAACTACACCCTTTGTTGTCTCCTAAATAAAAATGTTTAACGAGATAAACCTTCTCAATGAGTGTGGATTTAAAATGCCATAATTAAGATTATTTTGAAAGGGAATCCACATCTTGGGTGGCTTAACTTTTGCACCATGTATAGATTGACCTTTTTGTATTTGTCATTAGACAGATTTACAAAATAAAACAAGACAAACTGAACCTTGGGTCAGATTGTAACCAGGTGTAACTCACCATTAGAGGGATCATCATCAAAGTGGTCCTGTTGCCTTCACTTTTAAAGGCCCTTACTCACCCTCCATGTATAGCTCAGTACTGAAAACTAGTCCATTTCTACCACCCTGGTCTGAATTAATATGACTGGGTAATCAGCTCCAGGCAGGAGCTGATTTTAACTCCTAAATCCTCGTGTCCAAACTGCCATCATGAGCTATGACGGCTCGTTTCTGCACAGCAGCACCCAAGTTCATTTATGTGTTTTTATCTGTGGGATGCTTCCAGTTTCAGGACTCACTTTTTTCTCTGAGCGATTATGTGGACGCTTCAGTGAGCTCGCCATCCTTTCCGTTCCGTTATGGAGATTAATTATCACCTACTCCGTTCTGCAGTAGGGTTTATTATTTATAATAGTTTAATGTTTCAGTCTTCGATCTGACACAGAGGTTATTTCTCACTCTGCTGTTCAGGGCGAACTACTAAGACATCCTTGAGCAAACATACAAAGAACCTGAGGTGACAGTATGTAGCCACCGTTCTCTGGGGACCCAGGGAAGAGCCTGAACAGTACAGCATCGTAAATACCTTTCAGACAACACAGCTCACCTTCAAACATCTCCTTGCTGAAGTTAAAGAGTACGACACCCACGTTTCCCCTGTAGTCTTCATCCACAACGCCAGCTAGCAGCAAACAGAGGCGTTAAAACAGCTGACACCATGCAGAACCGATGCATGCAATGTGATTGGACTCACCACCAACATCGATGAAGTGTTTCGCTGCCAGGCCTGATCTTGGTGCTGAAACAGGAAGAGAGCGGTTAGTCTGACTCTGAACCAACTGCTCACAGGATGATGGAGAAGTGTGTAAAACTCACCCACTCTCCCATAGTATCCATGAGGAACGGCAATCTGAATGTCAGTCTTCACGATGGCCTTGTCCATGGCTCCAACGGAGTAATCATAAGCACTTTTAAATTAAATAAAGTTTTCAGTTTTGTCTACCCTGTGAGGATAAGATGCTTCTAAATCTAACAAAACCACCCACATCTCTTTCTAAACTCATGTCAAAAACAGAATAAACAAACGGATTTAAGTTCAAGTATCACCAACCTGTAGAGATCATATCCTGCAGCTTTGGTGGAACCACGAGTCGGAGTGGTGGCATGCTCAGAAAGTTTAGCAAACCTCAGTACAGGCGTCTCTCCTTCGATTTCTGTTTTTTGCCTCTTTGCTGGAGAATGTGCAGACACATCTGTAACATCTAAGGCGGGCATGTTGGTTGGCAGAGCGTTTACAGTTTGAAAACAGCACAACGAACCCTTCTGTTCCACTTTCTTGGAGGCTTAATAAAAGAATTTCCCGCTCAGAAGATTGTCACCTCCTTCAAAATGACGTCACGAGACGGAAACGGAATGAACGACAAAAAAAAATACATAAATATAGAGAGAGCTTATAGCAAAACGAATTTTCACGATTTAAGACAAAATATTACAGGTATAATCACATTTCGCCAAAAATTAGACTTCGTGACCATTTCGCCAGTACGTTGCTTAACAGAATCTCGCGATAATAAGTGAAGAAAACAAAATCTCGCGATGGTTACGTAAGCAAACGTACTGACAAAATCTCGCGATAATTAATGATGTACATAAACGATTTTACGATAAATCCTCGCGATAGTAAAGGATAATTATTAAAATACCGGTAGAAACAAAAACAATTAACTTTATTTCAACATTGAAGCAGAACAAAATAAATATTCAGAAGTTCAATACATCATCATTACACTAACCAAGTCTAACAACATTAAAACCGAAAGGTTATACTACGGTTACATAAATTAATAAGCTAACGTGCATATTATATCTTCTCCGGCTTGCCTTTGTTTTCTGTGATAATCTGAGTATGGATCAGTCTTCTTGTCAAAGAACGTGGGGCAGCGTTAAAAACCGAAAAGCACGATTGAAAGTATCTTAGCCTAAGCGATCTCGACATATTTGCTATGTGCTAAATGCTAACGGCCTAGATATCGCGCATGCCCAGAATGTCACTTGAGCATGCGCAGTTCTTTTCTTCCCTGGCATGGGTTAGATAGAAAATTGTTTCAATTATTAAATCATATTTATGTTTAAAAAACAAAAAATTCAATAAATGCATATGTTGTCATGATATTTATTCAATAAAAGAGTAAAAGACAAACCGAAAAGTTTTCAGTTTTTTTAAATTTAACAATAATATGATTTCACTGCAAACAACATCGAAAATTAAAGATTCTGACAAAAAATATTAAACATTATTCATCATTTATATTAAAAAATAATAAATTATTCAAAAGCTTTTGTCAAAGAGCTATCTTCCTGTCAGCTGATTTGCAACCTCCTCTAACTTTGACAAAAAGAGCTCCAGTCTATGTTTTAATAAAAATGTATATAACATTTATACTTGATTAATCCACTAACACAGAGTTTCAGTGTTTTTGATGATTTTGCGTTTCAGTTCTCTCAGCCTGATCCCAAACTGCTGTCATTTATTTGAAATAAATAAACATGTATAGGGAACATTTAATAAAACATGAAAGACCGGCACACATTTTAAACAATTCTCATAATAAACCATTTTGTTTTCATTAACACACATTAACAAGTATTTAAAAATCTGAAACACGTTTTCAGGGAATTGAAGTTCATGATTATTTCTTATGTTCTTCAGTTTCAAACAATAAATTTGTGTTTTAGCCTGGAAATCTTCTTAAGTAAGCTATATGAAAAACGATATTAAAAGAAAACTGTTTAATATGAAATAATGTAAAAGAACATGTGTATACACATTCCTCTTTTCACACAGTTTGAACAAGAAATCTCTTTTTTGTTTTGTTAATTCTTTATTACAAGTTATAACAATACAGTACATACAATAACCTTTATAAATACAATCACAAAAAATCACAGAATACAAACAATTCTCTCAAAATTCTGCTGTCCCCACATTTCTTTAAAGAAAAATGTGTAAATTTATAGTTACACTAACATAGCATGGAACAAGTAAACAAATAAAATTTTATTTAAGCTCTTTACGTTTTTTTAACGTGTATAAAATAAAATCAAGGAGTTCTTTCCTCTGTGCAAAACCTACCGGTATTAGCCAACATCCTACTGAGAATCATTTACATAGAAGATCTGATTTTTGTTTAAAATATGAATACATTATGGTGTTTACATTTATTTTACAGTGAGTGACTCAGTGAGTAAACAAGTCAGTCAGTGAAGGAGTGAGTCATTCAATCATTGTGCAAGTGATTCAGTGAGTGACCGAGCCAGTCAGTTACTGAGAAAGTCAATCAATCAGAGTGAGCGAGTCATTCGGTGAGTGAGTCAGTGAGTGAGTGTGTCAGTGAGTGAGCGAGTTAGTCAGTGAGTGAGAGTGATTGTGTGAGTGAGTCAGCAATTGAGTCATTGAGTGAGTCATTCAGTGAGTGAGAGAGTCAGTCAGTTACTGAGAAAGTCAATCAATCAGAGTGAGCGAGTCATTCAGTGAGTGAGAGAGTCAGTGAGTGAGTGTGTCATTGAGTGAGCGAGTTAGTCAGTGAGTGAGTTAGTGATAGTGTGAGTGAGTCAGCGATTGAGTCATTGAGTGAGTCAGTCAATCAGTGAGTGAGCAAGCGAGTCAGTGAGTGAGTTAGTGAATCAGTGAGTGAGCGAGTCAGTGATCAAGTGAGTGAGTGAGTGAGTGAGTGAGTGAGTCAGTCAGTCAGTGAGTGATTGAACCCACTGCAGCATTCATCCAGGAGCAGTTTGTCCTCTCAGCTGTCCCTCCAGCAGCCATTTGTTGTCATCAACATATCACAGAACTTCCTGTTGAGCTTTAATCCTCCATGAGAGTCTCAGACAGTATGGGTTTTAGCTAGATATTAAACTTTTAAACTGAAACTTTTAACTTTTTTTTTAATTATATCAACACATTTTCATTTGTTTACTGCTCCAACTGTTCTCTGTTTTCTTTTTGTTTGTTTGTTTGTTTTGTTACAGTTTGAATGTTCCCCGTGGGCTCAGACATGCGTTCCTCTAGTCTTTCTGAACAAAGTTCTTATTTTCTGTGGTTCCTCTCCAGCTGTTTGCTGCGTTCTGCTGAAAGCTGCTCATGAGTAGAACGTCAGGACGCTCTTGTGATTTCCTCGGATGAGCAGAGTCGGAGGAAGGTCCTTGGTCAGAACGTCCAGCCAGGCCATGTAGAGAAAATCAGAGATGGATTCTTTACGAGCGATGGGCATGCTCCTGCAGAAGGTCAGCAGAACAAACAGTAAATAATCTGATCATTTACTGTGTAATATTACATGTATGTTACATAGAACACATGTTAACTCATAAAATCAGATGCTGATAGACATGTTTAATTTAATCAATCGTCTACTTGTAGAGTATATAATCCAGATTACAAGATGAAAATCATCCAATCAGCTGCTGATACTCACACAACGATCAGGTTGGCAGATTTGGAGTGTTCCTGAAGGAGCTCATTCAGTCGAACCTGGAGGTGTGTCTGAAAATCAAAAATACATGTTATAAACCATGGGCAATCATGCAATTTCCTGTCTGAGTGTTTGTTTATCTGTTAGCAAAATATCTAATCAATAACTGGAAAGGCTCTAATGATTCTTTGTTGAAAATGAACGTCAGGTTATCATGCAGCTACAGACTCAGCTCCGTGCTCAGTTTATTATGAAAAAAAAACAGATCAAAAAGGTTTTTGTGTGTATCATTGTGTTTGCCTGTTGCTCGCTGAGTTTTTTTCTATATCTTTGTTTTTTCTTTGTCATCAGATTACGTTTCAGGATGCTTCTCTGCCAGTGGTTTCTGTCTGAAATCAGTGTTTTTCTTCCCTGTTTCAGACATTTAGGTTTAGTTTTCCTCATTCATAACATTCACTGTTTGCCTGGTCACACACACCTTTGTCTCATCTGTAATCAGCACACCTGTTCTCACTCACTAATCAGCACACCTGTTCTC